GCTCGGTTATTCTTTTAAAAAAAACTGTACAAACTTGGAAAAATGGTACATTTTGAATAGCTCCAAATATATTATTTCAAAGAAAAAATATTATTGATTTTTTTTGAAATTTGATTGTGACTGTAATTTCAAGCATCATTATTATGAAATTTTGAAAGTGCAGTAATTTAGTAGGCGTTTGGTAACAACCTTAACAGGATACTTTAGAAATGAATTTAAGCAAATAAAAATTTAAAAAATTACTTTTAAATTACTTCTGATAAATTACTTCGCTATCAGAATTATATTTGTGCAAAAGTTTAGTTGGATGGTTATTATTATTATTATATCAAATCCCAGGCCTATAGTTGACTTCAGGCTTCACAGAGGGAAGTAACATCAAGGTAAAAAAGTCGAGAGGGGAGGGGGAACAGAAGAGTGTTTCAAAGATGGAAAAGAGATACACAAAGGTATAAAAAGTTGAGGTGAGTACCGGGAAAGTAGTCGAATATTACATACAGTGGGTTCATGGCACTTTGAAGTAGAAAGTCAACTGCCGATTAATAGAATTTTTTGGCGCAATGACCAGGGCACACAACGTGGAGGTAGGTCAATCGAACACAAGAGTTTATTCGAACGTTTATTTATTTATTTATATCAAATAGCAGGTATTTTGAGAGTTATCATTAGCCCTTTAGTTGACTTCAGGCTTTACAGAGGGAAAGGAACATCAAAGTGGAAAGAAGTCTGGGGGGGGACACAGAAGAGTGATTCAAAGGTATAAAAGAGACAGACACAAAGGTAGAAAAAAGGTGAGGTAAGTACCGCGAAAGTAATCGAATATGACATACACTGGGGTGATGGTGGTTTGGAGTCAGAAGTCAACTGCCGGTTAATTGACATTTTTGCCGTATGAGTATACGTTGCCCAGGGTGCACCACGTGGAGGTAAGTCTATCGCATACCCCATGGATTGTATCAGTTGTTTTACATGCTGAAAATTGAAATAAATTATTGTTAATTTTAAGACTTTAGTAATGTAGAAAATCTAGGGAATTATCAAATTATTTAAAAATGTCAACTAAAATCGCCTTTTGTTTGTTGGTTTTGGCAAATATTTAATTTCACTACACATTTTAAAATTAATGTGGGTCTCATTCAGAGGCCTTTTTGATCGGTCAACCCATTATTTAGAGCTATTTACAATCAATCATAATGATGAAGTGGCAATCAATTATTATTTCCTTTCGAATAATAACAATAAATAAATTGCCACTTTAGAGCAAATTTATAACAACTACCATTCTCTACAAATATGATTTGATTTGCAGAATGGAAGAAAAGCATTTAGGAAATGAATAAAAGCTGTAATCTAAGCCTGTCAATAAACAATAGATTGTATTTTTTTAAAAGTTAAGTTTTTCTTTTGTATTAATAAATTTAAATTCAGAAATTATTTTTACGAATTTGTTAAATGTAAAATTTGTCTCGAAATCAGATTTATTTTCACTAGCCAATATGCAATTCTGACAAGTCTCTTTAAGGTGCTAGTATCTCAAAAATAAATATTTAATCTAAGAATTTTAAAGCATCATTTTGAAATTTATAAACTTTTTCATTTGCTATCTATTTATCTGCTGAATAATTTTATAATATTAATTCTATTCCATTTTTTTCGATAAGAAACCATAAATCGATAACAATTGATTTAATCAAATATTTTCGAAAATCCTTTTGCCAATAAATGAATTCTTTTTCACGATATCATATAATCTTGTGAATATTTTCATATTTTGTGATAAAAAGAATAGCTCATTATGTCCTCATTACTTAAAGACTCATCAGCAAAAAGCAAAACCAATAATAGTGAGTAATAAACAAAAACCATCTTCTGATATCATTTTAAATAAATTGTAAAAGCCAAATTCTATTTTCAATTACAGGGTTATCAGTAGCAAAATGTTTAAGCAGGTTATGGGAAAAATTGAAACTTGATTTCATATTCCCGTCTGCTTAATTAAAAATATAATCTATATATTTCAGTTCTTTTTATTCCTAATGCTTTTTTTCTAATATTTTTGAGTGCTCTAGTTGTGCGTTTTCTTTCTTTAATTATTTTTTTAATAAATTTTATCAAACTGTATATGATTTTATGCAAATAAATTATATGCTTGCCTTCGTCTTCGATGCAACTATAAAATGTTTTGTTCTCCCGAATAAATTATGATATTCATAAGGTTAATTAAAAATCTTCATAATATTCTGTTGTGAATTCGAGCTACTTTTGGAAATAAAATTGAATTCTTTGCGATATTATTAAAAAGTTATTTAAAGGTCAATTAAACAGCTCTTAACATTTAAAATAACTAAATCATATTGTACTTTTTTTTATGAAATTCTTTTGAATTGACATATACGTTCTCATTACACTTTTCTTATTGATTAGCACATTGTTCCTATTTTCGTTCAAAATTTATAGAACTCTGATATTCTAAATATTCTTTTGTAAATGTTAAACCGTGTTCGCAGTAGATTAAGACAAATTAAAATAAATAAATACATTATGCTCCATTTCTGACATAGCTTTAAAAATATCACCTGCATGGTAGGCTATTCAATTAATCTCCATTCCTTTTAAACAGACATATTCTTTGAATGTATGACCAACTTCGATCCTTTACCATATATATTTATATATAGGATTAATCATTTGTTAATTTTTTTAGCAAAAGTAATTGCTCTTTTTATTGGGCTAAACTCATGAAAATTCATTAACTTCATAGGAATTCTAATTGTTACCAGCAATTTAAACCAATCGAAGCTGCCATATAGACACAAAGTAATAGGTACTTTTCAAGTTTAATTTAATTTCAAATGCTTTTGATCTCTCTGTGTCACAAATGTTCTTATTGTTTTAATGGCAACAAAAGTGGGAACAAAATGTAGAATCGTGATTAATGTTTTAAAGAAGCAAGCCATTACAAACCATTGATCATCATGGAATATTCCTACATAATTCTCTTAGTCAAACGTCTCTAGCGGTTTTATAAAACGCCTTAAGCACCATTTCATGCCCCAGTTTTGAAAAGCAAATATTTTACTCAAATGAGGTGGAACAATCTCATACACAGACATTTTCCCGCTTACGGCTTTGGTTTAAGCACATCAGACATTTAATTGACCATATTAAAGGGATGAAATTGCAGTAAGTTTTTATTTGTTCAGGGTCTCCTTTCCAAAATGTAAGGTTTGGTTGCAGTAAAATAATAGTTCAATGGCATGTTTGAAAATTCATTGCTTTGGATGGGTTTTGTTTATGCCTCACAAGTAAATAAATATTCAGAAAAAAGCATTCGATCAAATTTTTAAATTACTATCACACTATATTCCTAATTGGGATGAAACAATCGAAAATGAGTTGGAGTTCATTTTGTTCATCAATTGTAGATCTTGGAGACAATAAAAAGGAATGTTCTTCTTAATTTTTTAAATTAATTTGATTCAAGTAGATTTCAATTATTTAACATACATTGTCATTAAATCAGAAATTGCTATTTTATAGTAATTTAATCCTATATATTTAAATCTCCTTTATCGTCTCCATAAATTTAATTGTAGATTTGAATCAATCAAACTAGAACCTTAACCAAGTAGTCACATCCTTATCAGTCATTCAATATTTATGCGTATTCCTAGTATATATACTTGTCCACTAAAGTTAAAGTGGAGAGTTGAATTTTATATTTCCCATAGTTGAATGAAGAAGACGTACTACAGCTGGCGTTTCATCGTGGTTTTCCTATTTACTTATTCGACTGACCAAATATGTTCAGCATTGCATGGAAGTTCTGGAGGCTCTTCTCGCAGCACACATTTAGTAATAACATATGGCGGTGGTGGTGGTGGACATGGTATTTCTGGGCGTAGTGGTGATGGATCTGGTCTTTCCAAATATGGAAATTCTGGAACTGGATACGGTGGTCCGACACCTGGAGCTTATGGATCCAGTAGTTCTCTATCTAGATTTGGTTCTTCTGGAATCGGTGGTTCAATATATGGAAGTTATGGTGGCGGTGGTTCTGGATATGGCATTTCTAATAATGGAAACCCCAGTTTCCCTAGTTCTGTAGTCAAAGGTTCTGGATTTGGAAGTTCTGGAAATGATGGTTTTGGATCCAGTAGTTATGGAGGTGGTGGCTATGGAAGTGGTGGTTCTGGATCCGGTGGCCATGGACGTGGTGGTTCTGGATCCAGTAGTTATGGAAGTGGTGGTTATGGATACGGTGGATATGGAAGTGGTGGTATTGGATCCAGTAGTTATGGAAGTGGCGGTTCTGGATCGGGTGGCAGTTTCCCTTCAGGCCCGAAAAGCGATTATGGCGGAAGTGGCAGAGGAGGTGGAAGCTCTTACGATTCTCGATCTGGTACTGAGACAAGAGACAACGGAAATTCAAACGACGGTGATGGAATTCCTGACGAAGTCATTGATGCATTAGACAAACTCTTGACATCTTAAACGGGAATTACTTTATTTAATATGAAGAAAATTAAAAATCTTTATTTTGCATATTCATATGATCTAAATATTCAAATTCATGAATTATGTAATTTCATGACGAAATAATAATCCAGCATGTAAAAAACTTTCTTTTCATTTGAAATACAATGGTTTTGGTAGCATTACTGCATTATTCATGGTTTATTGAGAATAAAGAATTAATTAATTTGTATGATGTGGCCGAAAGGTTGGTAGATCAAAACAGGGGTTTTCAAATAATGTATAAGAACGGATGATTTTTATAAGTTATTTCATTCCTGAAACTCATCTAATCTTGTAGAATAAATAGAAGGAAACAGGTATTTCTAAATTAGTTCATTCCTAAAACTTATCTTACCCTGTTATAAGTATTCATGCAATTTAAACAAACCTGAGCAATTATTACCGAATTACTTGTAAATTTACCAAATTAGTTACTATTTACTTGCATGGTAATTTTGCTTAAATGTTAGAACGTGTTGTTACCTTGTTTTATCTCTATGCTTTACAAATCAAATGCTTTTTTTAATTTCCATTTGGTATATATATAATTTCGACTATTTATTTTTGCATCCAGACTTGATCTAAAGTAAAGAAAATTCATAATCAATTTTGCCAATTTACTATTAAATTACATTATCACAAAATTTCACTAGATAAAGAGGTTCATCCTATTTAGCTGTCTTAGATTTTTGACTTTAATAGAAATGTGTCGTTTTGTTTTCCAAAAACCCGATTCTGGGTTGGTTTTTTATTAAAAAAACAACAAATTAGTTATAAATATTTTAAATTTTAATTAGATTCATCAAACTTTCACAAAATGAGGTCGAATGCTTATGTGGACAATGGTATCTCTAAAATTGCAAATAGTGAAACATTTATTAGGGCATATCTGCTTGCAAATTTGGTTTTGTCAATACTCCCATCCAATGTTATTTTCAATGTCTAATTCCCTCAAATTGCAATTAGCTTATTTTAAATGTGACATTTCTGTTAAAAATTCATTAATGGCTTACAAGATAAATTAAACCTAGTAAATCCGAATATGGAAGTTCTGATGATAGTGCTTCAGGTTTCGGTAGTTCTGCAATTGGTGTTCCGGTTTCCTTTGGAAGTTACTTTTCAGGAAATAAAAAAGATTTGGGAATTTTTAACGCAATCAGAGATGAATTCGACTATCTCTTAACATCCCAAAATTAAAACAATTTCTTGTTCAAATTATGCAAAAATTGTATCTCTTTATATTCTACATTCATATGATTTAAATATTCAACTTTTTGCTTTACGTATTTTTACGGTTAGAAATACCTCCACAGCCAACGTATACTTATACGCCAAAAAATCTATTAACTGACAGTTGACTTCTGACATCAAACTAACATCACCCCACTCTATGACATATTCGAACCTTTCACAGTACTCATCTTACATTTTCTCTGCCTTTTTTTTCTGTCTGTCTGCCTCTTTTACAATGTAAATCATTATTCTCTCTCTCCCCTCTCGAAGTCAACTAAATGACAAATGATAACTATCAAAACGGCTACCATTTAAAATAAATAAACTAATTCAACAATTTAAACAAACTTTCCTTTCATTTAAATGTAGGGATCTTTTTAGCACTATTAGTTATTCTGGAATTCCAAATAAGAATTTATATCTTCCTATAAAGTGAAAGAATATTTGATAGATTAAAATAAGTTTTTCCGAATAAAAACGAGAACTCTGTCTTAGGTATTCATTCGATGAATGTGGCGTGAAAGCAAATAATCGATAAAAATACCCTGTTAGGTCTATGTATTGCAATTTAATTAGGTTATCTCTTCGGTCGTACCAAAAAATTATCTAATTCATGAAACGCTTTGAAGTCCACCTGTCCTAGAATTC